CATTTTTCAAAAAATAATTTGAGAAATCATTATCATCTTAAGCTTTAATCTCATACTTCGTCAGAATAACTTTCTCCAAGAAAAGTTCATCATTCTCCACAATATGAACACTATTATCATAATATTTGATTTTGCTTTCCAATTGAGATAAATATGAAGAAATCAAAATTTTATCGAATAAGTTATATCTAACTTATTTGAAATTGGAATTTAGAACAATACCTGAAACTGTTAACTCACCAATTTCATCAACTTTTGCCTCTTATTTAGCACTTTCTTCTTCTTTAATTTTTCTTTCCACTTCAATCTCATCCACTTTTTCAATCTTTTCTTTAACACCTTTCTTTATCTCTTCTTTATTCTCTATTTCACATTGGCCTTCAACTTTTGAATCTTCAATTTCTTCAACTTCATTTGTGTTGTACGCCTCTTCATTCTCTACAAATTTCTCCTCAAGACTTTCATAATCAGCCTTCGCGTAATACCCCTAATTTTAAAAGGATAGTCTCGGTATTTATTTATTTATTTTTATTGTATTTTTTTAATTATTTAATTGATTATTTGACTAATTATTTATGTGTTTAATTGAATTAAGTGTTACTTGATTAATTAGCTACTTATCTATGTGTTATTTGTATTTTGTCTAGGTATTATTTGTATTATTAGATTGGGTGCTTAAATGATGTATTTGATTAATTGTAATTAATTGTAAATTAAATGATTAAATATTTTATTTTATTTTATTTTATGGTTATGGTTAGTGGTAATGGGCTAACTAATTGGGTCCCATGGACTACTTGGATAGGAGGTTGGATGGGTATGGATAATTACCCATAGATAGTTGTATATGTATATATATATATATATATATATATATATATATATATACATATATATAAAAAGGAAAGTAATTTATTAATATTATAGTAACTTTAGTATTAATAAATAATCTGATGTATATATTTTATATATTTATATAATAAGGATATACATATATTTTATACGTAACATGTTTTAAGTTACCTTTTTAATATTACGGGTGCACAATCCCACATCGTCTGGGTAGAGGAAAGGTGAAGTGCTTATATGTAAGTGTGTCATCTCCAATTGGTATAAGGCCTTTTGGGGTGAAGCCCAAGAGAAAAACCGTGCGGGCTCAGGCTCAAAGCGGACAATATCATACCATATGATGGAGTGGGTTATAAATAAATAATCTAACATGCTTTAAGTTACTTTTTAATATTATGGTAAGTTGACTTGGATTGGGAAGAAAAAGTTTTAACTTTTGATTCGAAAGTTTAAGGCAATTTCTTCTTCTATCTCTTTCCCTCTGATTCGTGTTTCTGTACATGCCTAGGAAATTCCAGAATTTATTAAACACATAAAATTAAATAATTATGCATGTTTAATTGGATTAGAACATAGGTTTTATGAATTTGGTTTATATCTGTTCTTGTGTTATAAATTGATAAATGCATGATTTTGATTCGATTTCCGGTGTGAATTTTTACATGTTTAAATTATGTATTTTTCATATCTGTAGAACGATGGAACGTAAAAACATGTCTAGGATTTCTGAACGTTAAATAAAAACTCGGTTTGGGTTTAAATAAATTTATATAGACTCAATCATAATGATGCTTACTATTTGAATGTTTTAAACAAACGAATAAATTTAATCTTTTAATATATTTTAGCAATTAAGATTAAATGTGTAGGATGAATTGGATATGGAGAATGCTTATTTGACGATATAATAAAATATCATCATATATATAAGATTCAGTTTATGTAGGACATATGATATAGGAAACTTAAATAAATAATAAGTCATTCCTATTTTGTGATAACTTGATATCATATTATCATAGTTATTTTTGGATTGTTTGATGTATTTCCTTAATCATTACATTAATTATTGGATTGTGTGGTTTAATGCACCGGTATGGGACGGTGGCATTATAGGGATGGATTAACTTATCAGTTAAGTCCTACCTATTTTATATAAGGGAATGGATTAACTTAAATGTTAAATCCTACTTATATTCAAGTCAGGTCAGCTGAACAAGTTAAATGATTTATGGATGATTAATTTATTATATAAGGGAATGGATTAACTAAAATATTAAGTCCTACTTATATTCAAGTCAGGTCAGTTGAACAAGTTGAATGACTTATGGAGGATTAATTTATACCGGATAGGATGGTTACTAAATTTTATACATATAAGTATGGTGCCATGATATGAGCTTGAGTCTCAGGATCAGTGGTTAGGGTGCGTATATCGCCAGGGATGTGTAGCTAGATATAGTGTAGTTGTGTACCCTGGTAGGTCTAGGTATTCATGCCCACTATATGTGCGTTTTGCATGTTGCCTACTATTCAGGTTGAGACAACCCTATAGTCTAGTGAGGTTCCTTTAGTGTGTGTATATATATATATATACGGACTACTAGTTATTGTTGGATTGACTAGGATGTATACGTGTATCGAATCTCTACTTGGACTGTAGTAGAGTAGAACTTGTTTGCGGGCCTAACCCACCATTATTTTTCAGGTGTTCGTCAGGAGTAAAGGTTGTTCGTGCTGAGCAGGGATCAGTCTACTTCATTCTTCCGATGCTACATAGGAGTTCTTTTATGATTCAATTTCCTGATTTAGACAGTTATTACTGTCATTTCTTTAGTTTGGATTTTCTAGGGGTCCACACAGTATGGATTCCCGAGTTGTATGTTGGAGGATCAGTTATATCAGAAGAGTTTATTAATTAATGGAAATATATTCTAAGGTTTATTATTAGATTATCATTTTAGTTTCTTGTCAACATTTTATTTGTTTTTCTTTATTCTTTTGTACTTTGTGTTCGTTTATTATCAATTTGTTTTGATATCCTCGGGTATTTGGGCGTGGTCCTGGCCAACCCGCATTCGGAAATCCGGCGGGTATCATACTTCGTAAACTCATCATCCTCAAAGCATTGTACCCAATACTCCATGGGTCGTGATTCACTTCTATGATTGGAAACGATGGTCTCGATCATCTTCCAAACACAACTTGGAGTTTTGGACTCTCTAAAATACTCCCAAATTTCTTGATGTATTGCTTTCTGCAACACTACCAATGTATTTTCTTCTTTCTTTTCTCGAAACTTGTTAGACATGCCATTCTTTGGCTCTAATCCAATAACATTTCACAAATCACATGCTTTGAGGTATGAAGTCATGATGATTCTCATTCTCCTATAATTGGAGAACATCATCTTCTTACTAAGAAAATACATTTTCTCCCTTTCATCATCATTAAGGAGAAACATGTTTTTCTCAAATGTTGAACCTTTTAGGATCAACTTCGTCAGGCCTTCAGGATCGTCTAGGCTTTGAACATGAAATCTGGCTCTGATATGTTGAAACCTAGCTCTGATACCACTTTGTTGGCTTTTGCTCTGATACTACTTTCTGACTTTACTCTGATATCATTTTGTTGGAAATAGTGGCCTAGATATACACACAACACTATAATATTTGGAAGATAATGATATGGAGGAATACTTGGAAAATTATTTTTATTCAATTTCTAATTCATATTCTAAAATGACTAAAGTACATAATTATATAGGCCTCACATATGTATGCATAACCATTACATTTAAAGGCCTAATTACATCCATAACATAGTATTTAGGATACTTAATTCCCATACATCTTAGTCTTACATAACCTTCTTCATCAAGACCATTTACTATCCCACTAACATGAAATACAAATATGCATCATGTATACCAAATACTTGAAAATTCTAATTACAACTAAAATTCTAAAATCAAGTTTATTTTCAACATTCTCTTGCTCTAGCACATTTTTTATTTATTTTTTATTTTTTTATTTTTATACTCTAACGTTGGCTTAACCAAATTAGATTCGGGGAGTTTTCGAACTATATACATATGTGTATATAATTACTATATATATATATATATATATATATATATATATATCATCTAATCTTTGCAAATCAATATCTCTCTATTATGAATCCATATATAGTATATATATATACACACACAAAAAGGAAAGTTGTTATTTGTATATATAGATAATCAATCTATATATATATACACAATAAGGGAAGATGTTGTTTTATATAGATATTCAAGCTACATATATATATATATATATACACACACACAAAAAGGAAAGCTGCGATTTGTATATATAGATACTCAATTATTAACAGTCGCACATGCTACTGGAATTAGCACTACTTGTTGGTGTTGTTTGATAACTTGATTCAGCGTTTAACTCTGAAAGTATTAAATACTTATTCAATTTTGTGCTTAAAATTTTAAGTGACAGAGACACGACTTATCCGTGGATGTTGCACTTAAAAACTTCAGTATTTAAAATTAAAAATTTTCATATTTAAAATTGAAATTTTAAAATTTTCAGTATTTAATTTTCAAATTTATCAAACATTAACCATTCCAATTGAGCTTTGACTGTATGGGAATTTTTAGCGTAGGTGTGCCCTTTAACAACTATGGTTGCACTGCATCATATGAAACACATAGCCAAGACGCAACCCAACACTCAAGCGAAGCAGGGCAAGCGGCAAGCCAACTGCAGCAATGGGACAGAACAAGAGAACCCACGTATTCTAGAATAATAATTGAAGGAATGGTGTGAGTAATTTTACCAATTTACTAGAATAAAATTAAATGTCCAAAAATAAAAATATAAAAATATAAAAAAGAAGATTTTAATTATTGCCTTATTTACGGTAGTTTCTGGTGGTCTTTATTCTTGTCAACCACGTCAAACTAGAAAACCTTAGCCGACTATAATTCCACCAGTTGAAATTAGAACTTTTCTCTCTCTATGAGAAACCCTAGCCGACACTATAATTCCTTGAACATAAAGTTAAAAAACATCTTTCTCTATATATATCCACACATATTACTATCTAGGCAATCCTGTTAGGGAAACCTAAAAATTGCTAAAACAATGGAGCAGAAGGGAAAGATGGTTCCGTCTTCTTCAGTTCCGCCGGAGATTTTGTGGTCTTCACTTCCTTTGATACTAAAGCAATTTCCTGTGAAAACCTTGCTGAAATTGAGGTGTGTTTCCAAGGTCTGGTGCTCCATCATTGACGATCCAGATTTCATTCGATTGCACCATAAGCACTCCCATACTCGGCCTGACGGGGTCAGCATCGTCCTTATGAATAAAGATGGTGGTGATTATCAACTTTACTCTGTAGATCCAGAAGGAGGTCCACTCGTTGACCTTCTAGAAGTGCCTTCTCTGTTCGTCTCAAAATATTATTCAAGCGTTTATGAACCAAACTATGCAGACACCATACAATTACAATCCGTTAACGGCTTAGTTTGTATTCAAAACCGCATATGGAATCCAAGTACAAGACAACGAATAGAGATCCCACCAAGGAAGGAGAGTACAACTACTTTTCTGGATGTCCCAACATACTTGTTAGGGTTCGATCCTTTTTCCGACAAGTACAAAATTCTTAATAAACAAGTGGTTGTTAGTATAGATGGTGGGGGTGTGGAAAAACGAGTCGAGTACCAGATTTTGACCATCGGTACAAACGAGTGGAGAGAGATTGATTCGGTCCCGAATGAATTTGTTCCGTACCATCGTAATCATAGATCTTGTTGCATTGAGGGTGTTATATATTCTTTTGCTTGTATTTCAGATGAGGACATGATACTTGCTTTTGAACTGACGCGCGAGGAGTTCCGAATCATTCCACTTCCACCAGAAGTTGATCATGTTGATTGTTGTGACTTTTATTTAATAGAAGTGAGAGAACGTTTGGGTCTGATAAATGGTGCGATGACCACAATCTCTATATTAGAAGATTCCGAGAAGATTGTTTGGATGACGCAGAATTCCATCTTTCCAGATTTTATTTTAAAATATTATGAGGGGAGTAAATTTACACCAATTGGTGCCATTCATACAGAGATTTTACTGTGTGTTGATGATTGGAATACACAAGTAAAAAGATTCTTTTATTATGATCTGGAAAGTAAAAGATTGAGGAGGGTTGATGCCGTTCCAAACTTACTTGACATATTTCAATATGGTATCTACTACACCAAACATGTGGAGAGCTTATTTCGATTGAAAAGGTTTTATTTCGTTCTTATTGACCAAAGTTAAGAGTTTTTTATTTTTTTATTCTCATTTTGAAGTCTTTAATGAAATTGATGCATGCCCGTTTAGTGGTTAAGGTCAAATTAGCATAAATTTCTCCTATAAGATGTTCATCTATGGATCCTTCTTTGTGAAATTTAGTAGTTACAAGAAGAAATTTAGTAAAAGATTCAATTACTTCTCAATGCCCTTGAATTCTGTAAAGGTCCTTTATTAGAATATTGTAGTAAGCATTTTGTTGGCGTTATTACCAAGAATAGAAAACTTTCTTATAATTGCTCATTGAAAGAACTTTAGAAATCAAACTTATCTTTTTTCATTCTGAATTATAAGAGTTCCTGTTGAAGTTCATAGTCTTAGTCTGCTTGTATTGATATCATCAAGCAATCAAAAAACACAAATTTTCTTTTGGTTTTTAGAGTTTCCCTTTATTTTCATAAGCTAAGTATGGGGCCTGTTACAATCTGTTAGATGGTCCTTATTTAATATTAAGAAATTCTCTTAAAATCAGTATTGTATAGACAATGCTCAGTTTAATGGAAAGAAGATAAGGCACATTACCTTTCAATATATATATGTAAAAGACAGGCAGACAAGAAGGAAGAGTGAGAATAGTGGTTTGTACTCCAGAAACCGTTGATCTTTGTTTTGCCTCAACTAGTAATTTATACTTGAACTAGCCATTTTATTTTTTTTTGGTATCTTGTATGTATATAAATACAGTCAAAAGAGCATCTTTAGACGGATGACTTTTTAAGTGTTTTGCCTCGGTACCTAGTGCAAGTCTATCCTTCTTTTATTATAATGTTCGGATAAAACTTTAATATGAAGTTGGGATATCTACACGTGAAATATGAACAGGCGAGCTGGTGCCTGTGCTGCATTCCAAACTTCATGATAGAATTTTATTATACTATTTGATCATGTAAGCCCGAAACTGGACCAAGAGAACAAGTAATTTGCAAGAAATATTCGGAGTCATGAAGCTTCCCAAGTTTAATATTTGTGAATAGTGTTGTTAATATTGCAGCATATCGTTTTCTTGCATCTTTATGGACTTGAATTAATTTCCATAAGCATTATTTCTTATACATGTTTTTAAGGATTGTGTTGAACCTCTTTCAAATGACATTTACATGGTCTCTCTCTTCCTACAGTTCTGTCTTTGGAGAGCTAAAAAAGTACCAGAAAGATTTCTCCAGCCGGTGTGGAGAGTGTCAACGTGAGAAGAAAGAAAGGCAGCAGAAGGGAACCCTAAAAATTGCTAAAACAATGGAGCAAAAGGGAAAGATGGTTGCGTCTTCTTCAGTTCCTCGGGAGATTTTGTGGTCTTCACTTCCAAAGGGTGTTATGTGCGAGATACTAAAGCAATTTCCTGTGAAAACCTTGCTGAAATTGAGGTGTGTTTCCAAGGTCTGGTGCTCCATCATTGACGATCCAGATTTCATACGGTTGCACCATAATCACTCCCACACTCGGCCTGATGGTGTCAGCATCCTTCTTATGATTAAATGTAATGATATGAATTATGGAAGCGATTCTGGTGATTATTATAAACTTTACTCTCAAGATCCAGAAGGGGGTCCGATCGTTCACCTTCTAAAAGTTCCCTCGGTGTTCGTTCGAAGTTATGGCAATTATTATGATTTTCAACCTGACCATGAAGACACTCTACAATCCGTTAATGGTTTAGTTTGTATTCAAAACCGCATATGGAATCCTAGTACAAGACAACGAATACATATTCCAACAAGGAAAACTCAGGTTGAGGGAGAAGATTATCCACGCCGCGAATTCAGATTTTATTCAAGGTACTTCCTAGGGTTCGATCCTTTTTCCGACCAGTACAAAATCCTTCATAGACATCTTATTATTAGTGCACATAGTGCACATGGTGGGGGTGTGGAAGAACGAGTTGAGTACCAAATTTTGACCATTGGTACAAACGTGTGGAGAGAGATTGATTACGTCCCCCATGTACAGATGGTTCCTAATCAAAGATCTTGTTGCATTGCGGGAGTTATATATTCTTTTGCACGTATTTCGGATGGGTCCGTAGTGATACTAGCCTTTGAACTAAGGCATGAGGAGTTCCGAATCATACCACTCCCACAACAAGAATATTATGCTGATTATACTATACTTGATTTAGTACAACTGGGAGAGCGTTTGGGTCTAATAATAATGAATGGTGATTATGGTGAAGTGACCAGAATCTCTACATTAGAAGATTACGAGAAGACTGTTTGGAAGACGGAAAATATCATGTTACCAGATTATCTGAAGTATAGTATACCAATTAGTGGAAGCATTCATACAGGTGAGATTTTACTTGGTCACGAATCACCTTTCTACTACAATTTGGAAAGTAGAAGATTCAGGCGGGTGGATGGGTTTTCAAACTTACCCTGCAATTATGATTTCTGCTTCTACACCAAACACGTGGAGAGCTTATTTCAATTGAAAAAGGTGTAAATTTTATTTATAGTTTATATATATATATATATATATATTTTGTGACTGTGAGGTTATATATTAATGAGCTTAAAAGATTTGAGTATTAAGTATTTTCAACCCTTATATTGGGAGGAGCACTCAGGCTAATATGTGGAGAGCTTTTTCAACGTATTAATTTTTTTATTTTATTTTTAGTTTATATATATATATATATATATATATATATATATATATATTCGTGAGCTTAAAATATTTTAATGAGCTTAAAATATATATATTTTTTTGTGACTGTGTATTATATATTAATGAGCTTAAAAAATTTAAGTATTAAGTATTTCATATTTATTCTCTCGTAAGTTGATTTGATTTTTATACATATCATTTTTTTCTCTCAGGCAAATGAGAAAACTCAGAATTACATAAACAGGTAACTAAATTTTTTCAAAAACTCAGAATTAAAAAAGAAAAATCCCCTCTTACATGGTATAAATGAAAAGAAAACCCTCACAAACAGATAACTAAAAACTCTCCAAAATTAAATATATAGTGCTGTATTGGTGGTGTTATTATATTTATGTAAAGTTTGTAATTGGAACAAAAATTTTAGGATTGATAAAACTTGAAATGTAAATTTAAATTTTATAGATTTTATTTAACAATAAATATGACCCAAAAATCAAACAATACAATACAACTCATCAGGTGAGCAGGAAAAAAAAAAAAAAAAAAACATATAACAACAATATTTAAGTTAAGAGGATAGGTAAATAAACACAAAATACAGTCGCCTCGGTTAGCGAAGCCCATAAAATTATTTTATTTTACAAAATACTGGATGGGGGCCATCAAACTACGTCATTTAACATCCATATACATAAAGTCTCCTCCAGTACTCACGCCGGCCTCTTCTACCTTAAGCCTTCACGTCTCTTCCACCTAATGTTGACACTCTTTATGTGCTCCGCTTTGTAGAGTGTTTTCTAGATCCTGCAGCAAAGGACTCTTGGTCCTTGTTTGGATTGAGGGATTTAGAGGGTGGAGAGAAAAGAAAGGAAATGATAGTATTAAGTGTGTTTGGATGGAGAGAATAGAAGAAAAAAGAAACGATTGGGAAGGATTTGGAGGGATAGCCTATCCCTTCAAATCCCTCCAATACAGTAAAACCAAATCCTTCCAATTTTGAGAAGATTTGAGGGGAAACGTACAATTTAAGTATAATTTTTATTAAAGACAAAATTAGCTTTTAAGGATTCTGACTGTTCTTGTATGTTCATCGGACCACGGTGAACAGGACTTTTTTAGCCTTTGGCGTAATGGAGCACAAAGAATGGAAAGATCCTTAAAGAACTCGGAAAGATAATTTAGCATCCTAAAAATCTTTGAAGCTGGGTTTTGTCTCTAATTTCATCAGGGAATTTATCATCAAATTGGATGGATCTGTTGATTGGGATAACAGTTGCCTGGTGGATCTGAAAACCTAGGAATCTGATCTTGGTCTGAAAAAGGTTAGTTTTGATAAAGAAAGGACTAAACCATTATGCTTGATGGTTTAAGCAAATATATTGAGATGTTTCCAAAGAGCATCTATGGAAGAAGAAAAGATTAGTATATCATCGATATAAACAATTGAAAATTTTGTAAGATGAATAAAAATATCATTCATGATTTTTTGAAATTCTAAAGGGGCATTTTTTAATCCGAAAGGCATCACATTCCATTCATAATGGCCAAAAGGAACCGTGAAGTCTGTTTTATATCTATCCTTTTCAGTAATTTGGATTTGCCAGAATCCTGACTTGAGATCAAATATTGAGAAAACCATTGCATGAACGAGACGTTGGATTAGGTCCTTTTTATTGGGCAGGGGATATCTGATCCATTGAAGGACTTCATTGAGGGGCTTGTAATTGATAACTAATCTGGGAACACCTCTTTCTATTTTAACATTTTTTTGGACATAGAAAGTAGCACAGCTCCACGGGGAGCGACTTTTTCATATTAGTGATTTACTCAATAATTCCTGGACTCCCTTCATGCAGTAATCAAGAAGTTCTTGATTCATTTGGCTAGGATGGGCTTTGGTAGGGATATCCTTTTCATTGAAAGATTTTTCATAAGGTAATTCAATAATGTGCTGCCGTCTGTGCCAGAAAGCGTTTGGGAGATCCGAGCAAACCTGACTTTCTAGTTTCGTTCTAAACCTTTGAATAGAGTCTTGGAGACTTTTGTGACTGAGCCATTCGTCAATCTGTTTGAAGGTCAATTCTTGTTTGAGAAAAACTAAATTAATGCTTTGTTTTGCTCTCGATTAACAACTGGGATCTGAGTAACATAAGAATCCTTGATGGTATTGAGATCCTTGGTGTCTATAGGATGGGCAAAAGGAAAGCAAATTTCATATCTGACCAGTGTTGTTGAAATACCCTGGCTATCAACTTTGAATGGGTAAAGAAGGGAAATAAATGGGGTTTCTAAAATAACAGGGGTATTGAGGTCTTTGACAAGGACGAAAGGTGGCTTAATACAAAGACCTTGATTACAAACATAGGCTTTGGTTAGCTTGTACTGAATAGTGAGACGCGAACCATTAGCACCTTGAAATCTTTCTTTGGTTTTCTCAAAGTATTTCGTAGGGACAAGTACTTCATTAATATAGTTGAGATCAACACCGAAGTTAATAAGGGCTATTGTATGAATGGTAAAGTCTTTATTGATGACAATCTTCAAGTTAACATGCCATTTCTGGAATGTTATTTGGGTCAGAAGGTTGATGTAGGTCTCATTGTCCTTTGTAAGATTTTCAGAAACTTGCTGTATAAGTTTTGAGGAGGACTTAGGTATTAGGGCATCTATATGGGATTGTTGCAAGATGATTTGGCTTCTGAGGGTAAGAATATCATGAGTAGTGGAATCTTTTAAAGCTTTACCTTCTTACTTTAGGATCGAAATCTCTTACTTGGTGTGCTTGATTTCTTTATGGAGGTCTTGAATTGTAATTGGTATCTAGGGCTGTGTACCAAATCTTTCAAAGATATCAGTAAGGTTGTAAGTGTTTGGTATAACAGCTGGAGTCTTGTCATTTCTTTGTCCGATGTTGTTGGGGAATTTGATCAGGCATTCTTTGCGCTGATCAAGATCCTCAATTTTATCAATGAGTTCCAACATGAATTCTTGATCCTTGGTAATCATACAAATGCCTTTGGTTTTGATAGGTTGGTTATCCAAAGATGGGTTGGAAGAATTAGAATCATTACCTGTATCAGCATAATAATCATCCTCTTGAATCCCATTGATATCATGTTCTGATTCGTCATCTGAAGAATTTAAAAGAATTTGCATCAATTGGCTTCTGACAGTTTCAGGGAGGTTAAACTCATTGATTTTTTTGTTTAGTTCTACAATCACGTTTATATTGACCCAACTTGCCACACTTGAAGCATTTTACTGCTACTTTTGAAGTGGCTAGCTTCTTTTGAAAATGTTTTGGAGGAGGGACATTTTTCTATTTATTTTTCTCTGAGGAAAGGTATTTATCTGCAAAGGAGGGCTTGTTTTTATTGAACCGTGACCTATTGTCGTACCTCTTATAAAAAGGCTTCTCGTAGTGGTTATAGCTTTTTCGTTCGGAAGGAGGGGTTAGGTTTTCAAGGCCGAATTGTTGGCAGAAAGATCCTAATTCCTTTATGCTAATGGCATTCTTATGCTTGATTTGCTATTGAGGTTTGAAATCAGTATAGAGAGCAATTCCTTCAGCCATGATGGTACTGATGATGTCACTATAAGTGAGGGAATCATAAGGAATATGGCCATTGTGTTTTAATCCAAAATGCTTGCGAATTCTTTCAACAAAAAGATTGGGGAGTGCATCAATGAACTTTTCTTTCTAAAAGGCTTGGTTACAGTCAGTCTTGGTGAGAACCTTTGAAAGGAAAACATCTTTATACCATCGGAAATCCTGAAGTTTGAGGCACCTAAGGTTGGCTAAGATTTCTAAGGTTTTGTCTCTAACAATTGAGAGATCAACAAGGAATTGTTTAGCGATAGAGAAAATAAGTGTAGCAACTGCATCTTCTATATCTTCACCTTCTTCTATTTTGATTGTTGTTCCTTCAGGAGTTGTTTTGACTGAATAAAGAATGTCATGGTGTTTATCAGGAGTAAGGATGTTGTCCCACCATCCTTTGAGTTGTCCTGTAAAACCTTCCACTAAGAGTTGTGCTATAGCATGATCAGATGAGTCATTCTTGGTCCTATAAGCAGTACTGACCATTGTTATTTCTTGAAGGGTATTGAGAATGTGGTACTCGGTTTTGCCATCTATGTTCCATTCATAAATGGTGCCACCATGATAAGCAGCTTGGGAAAACTGTCCTCATTCTTCGATCTAAAGGTCTGGGAAAGTAGGTCTGGGATAATAGTTTCTAGAAGAAGTTGGTTCTAAAACATTAATGTGCTAGTTTTGGAAGATTTCTGTAATTTCATCAATTTCAGTGTCGGTACCAATTTCTTGGTCTAAAGTATTGATGGTTCTGGGTGGTCTTTCTGGCGTATCAAGAATCGTAGTCGTGGAAGCCATAAGGGATTCGATACGCTTAATTTTGTCTTGTGCTTCTTCAATGGCACTTCGTTTGGATAATTGTTTAGACAAGTGTAGGGGAATTTCATAGGGCATGAAAGTGGGAGCATTATCTGACTAGATTGGGATGATTTGGTCTTTTTGAAGTAAGGTTTCAACACGAGAAAGCTGGGTGCCAAGTGTCTGGAGGTGCTTGTTTGTGTAATTATTTTGTTCCATGATGCTTCGGACATCGCGAGTCGTGGATGGAGTATTATCAGTGGCTACGGCCTTTGTTTTAAAAGAGGAAGCAGTAAGTGTGACAGTTCTTGCTGCCTTCGTCTTGAATTCAATTGCTTCAGCTAGAGGATGGATGGCTTCAATGGCATCACCTCAGGATGTTCGCCAGGTAGTGGTGGATTTGGTTGCGACATTTAAGGATTTGATCATTGAGAAAGGAAAA